TTCCAGTTGAAACGAAAACAGTGAAGTTGCCACGTCTGCAAGTCGGAACTTATTACGGAGATTAGTGTAAATGGTTAGACTTTTGGAACCAATTCGAAAATACAATTCATAATCATGGTGGATTGAGAAAAACTGAAAAATTTGCGTACCTAAAATCCTTACTTGGAGGTAATGTGCTTTAGCTGCCATTTTCGGTTTCGCTTTAAGTAACCAGAATTATGATTCCGCAATAGAAATATTGAAAGAACGTTTTGGAAGACAAGATGCTGTTATCACCTCGCATATGAATAAATTATTATCCCTTGAACCAGTGGGAAACATTTCAAATGTTAAAGCACTGCGTAAGCTGTACGATGAATGCGAAGTCAACATTCGAAGTTTAGAATCGTTAAACTTTACTTCTGGAAGTTATGGAAATATTCTCTGTCCTATCATTTTGCAGAAATTTCCAGAGGAATTAAATTTGGAATTTAATCGAAGTCGAAATATGGAAGCAGGATTTGATATAAAGGAACTTATAGAATTCTTAAAAAAGGAAGTTAACTGTCGAGAAGCTGCAAGTTTAATGAACTCTGCGAAAACGAATCAGAAACCATACTTTCGTCAAAATGAACAACGCACGAAAGTTTATCCGAATTATAAACCAACCGAAAGTTCCGACTGCTTCAGCTTTATCAACAATTGGATACAAATGTGTATTTTGTGACAAAGAAGATCATACGAAATATAAATGTACTGAGGTGAACTCTGAATGAAAAAACGCAACATTTTGAAACGTACAGGAAAATGTTTTCTGTGTTTTGGATGTAAACATTTAGCTATCAACTGTAAGAACACACAGTTTTCCTGCAAAAAGTGCCGCGGTGAACATCATGAAAGTGTGTGTGTGAATCCCGCATCAGCTGTCTCCAGTGCAAAAAATAAGGAAACCGAAACATCGGCGGAAATTGTTCAAAATTCTTCTGCCAAAACTGGATCTAATATTATGTTTCAAACGGTGTATGCTGTGGCTGAGGGCAGAAATAAGAATTGTATTGTGAGATGTCTTCTTGACGGCGGTAGCCAAATCTCTGCAATTCGAGAAGATTTATCAAGAAAATTACAGTTACCAGTGAAAGGACAAACTGTTTTAAATCTACATACCTTCGGTGAAAAGAACGGGAAATATTGGCGTCGAAAGAAAGTTGAACTTACGCTCCGAAATATTAATGACCCTGAAAAATCCATAAATCTCGAAGTCATTGAAATGCCAGTCATAACAAATGCCGATATACGAGTACCAGATGTAGAAATCAAATCCAAACTCCAAGCATTCGGCGTCACTTTGACAGACTGCGGCGGCGCCGATGGAATGAATAATATTTCCGTTTTAATCGGCGCGGACATTATGTGGAAAATAGCAAACGAAGAAATAAAAAGGATAAACAGAAATGCCGTAGCTATGAAAACCTTGTTTGGGTGGTGTATACAAGGCAAATTTCCTTTATCAGACTTTCAAATCCATGATGCGTGTTTAAACGTAAGTGTAGAAGAGAAACTTCTAAAAAGCGTCGAATCGTTTTGGAATATTGAATCTATAGGAATTAAAAATATTTCTGACGAAGAACAAAATGAAATGGCCTTGCAAATATTTAACAACTCGATTACACAAAAGGGTGATAGATACGAAGTTAGACTTCCATGGAAAGATCAGAATGTGACTTTAAGAGACAGTTTTAACAATGCTGAAAGACGGTTCTTAAATCTGATCAAACAATTTAAATCAAACTTGAACTTTTATGCGCAATATAAAGAAGTGATTGACTATCAGCTTAAGGAAGAAATCATAGAAAAGGTCGATCTTGGTACTCCATCTGGGAGACGAACTTACTACATACCTCACCGTGCTGTCATCCGTGAAGATCATAATTCTACGAAACTTCGCATTGTTTATGATGCTTCTTCAAAGGAAAAAAATCATGAATCTCTAAATGATAATTTACTACAAGGACCAAATCATCTTCCTGAACTTTTGAAAGTTTTAATAAATTTTCGACTTCATCGAATTGCATTTACGTCAGATATTGAGAAAGCGTTTTTACAAATTTCTGTTGCACCTGAAGATCGGGATTCAATGCGATTTTTGTGTATTGGTGAGAATTCAAGTTTGAGCAATCCGAGAATTCAAGTTTATCGGATGTGTCGTGCAATATTTGGAGCAAAATCAAGTCCATTTTTGCTGAGCGCTTGCATTAAGCATCATATAAAGAAATTTGAAGACATCCATCCCAGAACTGTAGAAAATTAGAAAACTTCATGTATGTTGACGATTTTATTTGTGGATCAGATAGCTATAAAGATATATCATGAAGCCAATGATATAATGAAAAAGGCACCAATGACCAAATGGAATTCTAATTCGGATACTGTAAAAAACCAGTATAAATCAAGTGACAACTTCGTTAACTTTAAATTGCCTGACTGTGATTCCCCCTCCAAGATTCTTGGACTTCAATGGGATACAATTAAGGATATCTTCTGTTTTAATGCACAAGACGTTATTGATTTCATCCAGTCAAATGACCAAACAAAACGCTGTGTTTTAAAAGCTGCTTCAAAAATCTTCGATCCTGTTGGGTTTCTTGCTCCATATGTTATTCAAGCAAAAGTTCTGTTTCAGGATTTATGGCTGAAAGGTGTTGATTGGGATGAAATTATCCCACCAGAATTGCAAGACAAGTAGAATAAATGGTATAGGCAACTATGTGATCTACCTAATATCCAGATACCTCGGTGGTATTTTCGTGATGTTGATGAAACACTGGAACTACATTGTTTTTGTGATTCATCTCAAAGTGCTTACGGAGTGTATGTGAAATTCCGTAGCTTAAAATATTGTGGAACAAGTTTAGTGATAGCCAAGAGCAGAGTGACACCCCTGAAAAAATTATCTTTACCAAGACTCGAGCTCATGGCAGCAGTGTTAGGTGCAAGACTTGTAACTACAGTCCATGTGCATTTTACTCAAGCTAAGATTCATTTATGGACAGATTCTCTTATTGTGCTTCATTGGATAAAGAACTCACCACGGCGATGGAAAACATTCGTACAAAATCGAGTGTCTGAAATTCAAGACAAAACATCCCTGAGTATGTGGCATCATTGTCCTGGCTCAGATAATCCAGCCGATAAAATTACACGCGGTGTTAAAGTGAGTGATCTTATAGTAGATCAAGTGTGGTAGCATGGACCTCCATGGTTTCATCAAGATAAAATAAATTGGCCTAAAGTGAACAAGCATTGTAGCATAGTAGATAGTGTTCAAGAAAGAGTTGTGACTCAAGTTACTAGCAGTGTTCAACCTTTACAACCTGTGTTAAAAATAGAAAACTTTAGTGACTTAGGTAAACTTTTAAGAGTCATGTCATATGTATTTAGATTCATTAATAATTTAAAGTCACAGAATAGAATAGAGTGATTGGTCCTGTGACCAAAAATGAAATATGTAATGCTATGTGTTATTGGATTATCTTATCACAAGTGAGTATTTTTTTGAAGAGTTGAATGATGTGTTAAATGTAAAAAACCATTGTCTCATAATTCCAAATTGTTTTGGGTTAAATCCAGTAATGGATGAAAAGGGTTGTTAAGGAGTTGGAAGTAGATTAGTGAAATCATCATTAGATGTCGATGAAATTCAGCCTATAATATTATCAAATAATTATTTTTCTCGTTTAATTATTTTGAATTGTCATGAAAAGGTACTTCATAGTGGTGTAAATGAAACTTTAGTGCAAGTAAGGGGGAAATTTTGGATTTTAAAAGCCAGACATTTTGTAAAATCTGTGTTACATGATTGTAGATTTTGTAAAAAATATAATGCTAAAGCTGGATACGAGATATCGGCTCCTCTTCCTGCTGATCGAGTGGAGAAAGCTGAACCATTTGAGGTATGTGGCATAGATTTCGCTGGCCCTTTGTATTTAAAGGATGGTACAAAAGTGTATATTTCATTGTTTACCTCTGCAGTGACTCGAGGAGTCCATTTAGAATTGTTATCAAATTTAAGTACAGAGTGCTTCATTCAAGCCTTACGTAGATTTTTTGCACGTAGGGGTATTTGTAGAGTTATTATATTTCTGATATCTTCTGAATGCTAAAACCTTTAAGACTGCTGATCGTGAATAATTAAAATATTTGTATAATAAATTATGTAAAGATGAAAAGGTTCTAAATTTCCTTGGTAAAAATGGGTTTGAATGGAAATTTATTGTAGAAGGTGCTCCTTGGTGGGGCGGATTCTGGGAACGTTAGGTAAGATCTGTAAAAACTTGTTTAAAACGTATCTTAGGTAAAGCTTCTTTATATTATGAAGAACTGTATACTGTCTTAGTTGAAGTTGAAGCTGTTATTAATTCTAGACCTATAACTTATGTATACAATGAACCAAATGAACCTGATCCTCTTTCACCATCTCATTTTATAACTGGATCTAGATTAACTGTTTTACCTTCACCTGAATCTAAACTAGAATCTACAAGATCTCAGTTGATTAAAAGATGGAAGCATAGGCAATTAACATTAGAGCATTTTTGGAAAAGGTTTTATAAAGAATATTTGTTAGAATTAAGATCAGTCATGTTTTCAAAACCTCCAAAGAATTCTCCCCTGTTTAAAATTAATGATGTTGTACGAGAAGATAATGTGAAACGCTGTAAGGATTAAGGAATTATTTCACGGAAGAGATGATAGAATTAGATCTTGTGAGATTCAGTTAGATAAGGGTGTTGTTAAAAGACCAATTGAAAGACTTTATAATCTTGAAGTTCAATAAAATTGATGCATCCGTTTACGTTATGGGAGGGAGTGTTAAGTTTAGGATTATATATCTTTAGATTGCCAATAGATGGCGGTAGTGTTTGTTTGTAAAAAGAAACTGTGATGTCAATTATGTATATGTATCAGTTCGTCTTTGGTGTTCATGAATAAATGTTGTGTGGAAGAACGCTCCTCTGTTTATCCAGTCTGATTTATTTTGTTTAATATGATTTCACATCTTAAGTAAACAATGTAACAGTTTCTTCTGGGAGAACAGACATTTCTGTTGAATCAGGAACTTCTGGAATGCTTAAAGATACAACACCATCCTCGTTAAATCTAAACAGAGGTTGCACCTGGCTAAAAATGAAAATATACAGTTTAAATATGCTAACTATACCATGATGTTAAAAAATTTGAAAACACTTGACCAATTTTACAAATTACTGACATTTTAAATAACATTTATTTCTCTTCTAGGCAGACAGAAAATACATATGCAAGTAGTTTTTATTTTAAATTTTTTAATATAAAATAATTTTAAAGTTTAAGAAATCAATTTCAATCAAATAAAATTAGATCAAGAAATTTGTGTGTTTGAACTGTTATGCTAAAAGGGAAAATTTTCATAGTGGCTCAAATGCTATGCACCTTCAAAATAAAAAATACAACTATATTATATTCATACCTTCCCCCTTTTTATATATGATATTCAAGCTAAAATTATATGTATCATTTCTGAGAAGAAATTAAAGGAAGAATATAGCAAATTAAAAAGCATGAATATTAGCATATCCTCAAAGATATGCTAATATTCATTACTGTATTTATACATCTTCATTTCCAGAATAAAAATTTGCTACAAATAAGCAAACACAAAAAGACAATTTTATTATAAAGTTAAAACTTGTTTGATAATGTAGATATTATAATATTTGAATTTCAAACTAAGGAAGGATTATAACCTGCAATATTTAGTAACTGTTAACTAACTGCAATATTTCTGTCCTTCATTACAAGATATAAGTGGGCTAGTAGCATTCTACTAAGAAGAGTGCACTTCCACAAAGTGCACCATGATTCCATTTTATCTAGTAAATTATTTTATCTACACTGGTTATCATAAATTAAGGAAAAATCACGATTACTGAAAAAGTTACATGTAGAATTTAATTAAACTTACCCACAATATACAGCACATAGTAAGGTATCGAATAACATAAAAAGAAATTAGCAGACAAATATGGTAGTATAGAAATTAGCACATGTATAAAATGAACAAATCGAAGGTGTCAGTTTGCTATAGGAAAAGTACCTTCAATATGGAATATGATCGCCTCTAGAAGCAATACAGCACATTCAGCGCTGTGTGATGCTTTCAATTATGCGGTCTATCAGTTCCATAGGAAGCGAGAGCCATTGCTCTTGCAAAGCAGTTGCAGGCGCAACAAGGGTTTGAGGGGTGGATTGAGAGCAGCTAAACATCTCCCTAAAGCATCCCAAACGTGCTCGATAAGATTCAAGTCCGGGGATCGAGCTGGCCACTCCATGCACATAATTGTTTCCTTGTTGAAGATAATCATCTACGATGTGAGCCCTGCACCTATTTCCCCAGCATATGGGAGCACATAAACATCAAGGATTTCATTTCTATAAATCTATTGGAAAGACATGGAGGTCCAATATCCCTTGGAAAGACATGGAGGTCTGTGTGTCCACCCAAAGACATGCCACCCCAAACACAGACACTGTCTCTTTCACTGATGTTTGATGGAAGATAACGGGTTCTAGGTTCTCTCCATATCAAATAACTCGTACTATCGCTTTCTAGACTAAACCTGGACTCATCCGTAAAGAGAACCACCCTCCATTGATCAGGCGTCCAGTGGACATGTTGTCGTGCCCACTGAAAACAGTTCCTCCTATGGTGTGACGTGAGCGGCACACAAATGGCTGGTCGCCTCGCATACAGACCACCTTCGTGAAGCCTTCTACGTATAGTTGACATTGACACAAACTTTCCGGTGGCTGCAGCAAGGGAGGATCTAAGAAGAGTCGGAGTAACGGTTCTATTCCTGCGTGCACATAATGTCAAATATCAGTCATCGGCGCTCATCGTAGCAGTTGGCCGTCCTTGGCTGAACCTCCTAGATGCCGAATCTGTGGTTTGAAATTGCCTCCAAAGTCTATGAACCACAGAAGGACTCACATTTAGCCATCTGGCCACTTCTGTTTGACTTTGTCCTGCCTCTAGTCTCCCAATGGCTCTCTATCGTAGTTCTGCAGGCAAATGATGCCTGGAGGTCATTGTTACAAATTGGCTATCTCAGATTTCTGATGCCACTGTCACAGTGAAATATGTGGGTTTGCTCTCAAACATGGACTTTTATGCTCCTTGCAGATGACATATTCTGAAAGCTGCACCGCTTATTTGCATATCGAAGTTTTACTCAGCTACTCGTACATGGTAACATATTCAAATTTTACATGGTTTGGCTTATTTTTGAGGGAGTTATCGCTATTTTTGTGATTTTTCCTTAATTTATGATAACCAGTGTAGTAATTATTTTTAATCTATTAAATTATTTGTATCTAGTAAATTAAATAGAAAAATAAATTGCTACTTGTGTAGCTGCAGAAGCTGTTCGCACATTTTTTCGACGATTTTCATTGTAATTACAGAAATATTTTACCTAACGTTTTTATGTTTTAAATGTTCTGTTTGATAATCCTTAATCTTCACTATCTTTCTGCACTGTATTTCTACCTTTTGTAGTATTGAAAGAGGTATCTTATCCCATTGCTCACAAACAGCTTTCAAGTCTAAGGAGGTTGTAGGTCGATGCTTGGACAACCCACTCTCCTATTTACAATAAGTATTAATATTAATAAGTAGTACAATAAGTACTTACAATATACTTGAAACATAAGTCCAAAAGTGCAAAGTTACTCTTGACATCAGGAGATCAAGAGATTTAACAAGGATCTGAGTAAAGGGTATGGCCTTGATACCCATTTCTTGTTCCATTTTTTTTTCCCAGAAAATTAACAGTAGATTTTGACATGTCACTGTTTTGTCTTGATGCATTTCTACTGATTGATCACACTGTGTGTAAAGAGAAGATATTTCATGCTTGAAAACTGGATATAAAAATGTTTTTGACAATATGTGGAATTGATCTTATGATTTTTCTCCACTCTCTTTATTTTTAATTTGCCGTTATATGAAAACCCAGCTACAATCATGAATCCCTTAGAAAAACTTTCTTTGCATTCCTTGAACCATATTTTAAGATTTTTTTCTTTTCTTTGATGATAATAAATGGATCTCTTTTTATTGCAGTCATTTAAGTACACCCAAGATTCATCTATAGTGAAATTTTTTCCATTTTTATCTCGATATATGTTTCTGATAAAGAACTCCGCAGTGCACTTTGCGATATGTCGTGGATAAAGATGATGCACATTATGTTTTTTCACCTTTTCAAGATTCAAATCAGCATTAATCATTTTGCTTACAGTTGACACTGAGCACTTTAATGATTTTGATAACCCTTTGACTGAATGATTTTGATAAACCTAATCCTTTGACTTGGTGTATTTTCTTTTAATATTAAATACTACTTTTGCAACATTCCATTTTCTCCTTGAATATGTACTTGAAACAATTTTTCAACTTAAAACTAAATTTTGATGTTTCCCTGCCTTTATTGTTGACAATATTACCTATCGTAGCTTTAGATATAAAAAAAAACCATGGCTTTCACAGCATTTTGTAATAATTAGATATGAAAAATTTTCTTCAGAAAGAACATAAACATAGCCTTCCATCCATTTCTTCTTTAAAACAAATTTTGCAAGAAAACAAAACTGTCAAGTAGCAAATGATAATTTATACTTTCAAAAATATAGCTGCATTAAAAAAATTTTTTGTTTGTTTTTTGAACTGAGGGAAAAAGTTAAAAAAATATCTAAAAACAAAAGTTTCTTGATCGTATGCTACAAAAACTAGAAGAAATATAAGGAACGATAATTTAAGTAAATATACTAGTTCTGTTTTCAGCAATGGTTTCAAGAGGCTAAAATACAGTACTCAGATATCAAAAATCAAGTGGCTTTCAAAATAAAAAATCAACAAAAGAACGTTTAACTGAAAATTGTTTCTAATTATACTGAAATTTGGAACTGAAGAAGGGGGGAGGGAAAGGGAATCATTAGTGCAAATGGGCTATTAGTCTTGATATGATTTTGCATGGTCTATTGCTAATGTCATGTTTCTCTTTTCATTTGAGTCTGTAGCCATTCGGAAAAACATAAGATACTATTCTTTCCCATTTAATCTAGCTGTTATTAATTAACTAAACTATTTAAAAGCAATAGATGCTTTAAAATGTTTTTTTTTTTTTACTTAATCTGATTGATTTAAATAAAAATGTATTTAATTCATGTTATATCTAGTTGAAAACAAAAGTATTTTATAGAATTATTATTACATATTTAGTCTTGAAAAGCGATTTTAAAAGTTCATAAAATGAAGTGCCCTGCAAATATAGGAAAAAGATGGATGTTTAGAAAAATGAGAAAACATCTTGTCTACAAAAAATTCAGCAGAAGAGATAATATCTAATACAAATCAGAAAAAAAAAAGAAAGAAAGAAAGGAAAAACGAGTATACTAACAAAAAATCTTTCTTTCAGATTTTTTAAAAAATTTACAAAAGATTTTACATGTCTAAAAGTTTTTTTTTTTAACGTTTTTTGTGTTACCTTTATTTATTAAATATCATGTTCTTCACACTTAAAACCATAAAATTCATTTCAACAGCAATATCGCAAAATAATTTTAAAATGAGCATATCTTTAGAATTTCTGATACACACTCTCCTCGTGTGTTGGAGATGAAAAAAAATCCCCCCATACAGTGTTGCCATTGTTTGAAATCATAGAGTTTCTTAATAAAAAATTCATTAAAATGTTACAAAATATGAAATCGATACTAAACAAATTCTAAATTTGTGCTTCCAGATGGCCATATTCTGAGGAGGATTATGTTATTCAAAATTTGATGGCTCTAGGTATCATTGTTTTATCCCAATGTGAAAAACATACATACATTTATGCAGATTCTGCATTATTTAATTTCTTTAAATATAACACAGGGTGATAATATTTGGTGGCAACAGTTTGAAAAGTGATACAGACATTTATAGTGAATCAATGCAAAATGCCAAAATGAAATTAACAGCCCTTATGAACACTGGTCAGCACAGAAATGAGAAATTTTTTAGAAGTAATATGCTGCATACAAGCACAATTCAGTATGCCTACTTAAGTGTCTTTCAAAATAGTGCTGAGAAGCCTTATGTAATGAGAATACAGTGCAATAAATTTCCTAATAATCATATCAGCAATAAACATATATCCATGATAAATAAAATAAAAAAGTATCACAGACACTTTTCATTTTCTTTACTACTGCAAATGATTGTCATTTCTTCACCTACTACTCTACTACAAAGCAATTGAAATGTCCAAAATTTTTAATTAAAAATTTAGTTTTCCTATCAAATCATAATATTATTTGCAATTTTTTTAATTATACTTTCCAGGAAAACATTTTGCAACTGATAATTTCTGAGTTTAAAATTAAGTCTGAATATTTACAGTTCATAAATATGAAGAAATAAATACAGGAGAATCTATTAATTGAGACCTCTGTCGACCAGCCAGCTAAAGAAATCATTGGGATAATTTAGTAACATAAGAAAGGGCAAACAAAAATTAATAACAATTATGAATTTCATCAGCAGCTTTTATTAGTATAATGGGTCATATAATTGTCTTCCTATTTTGCATGTCAGTAAAAAAAAAAAAAAAAAGTGGTTTACATGTATTTAAAATGAAGAAAAATTAATAGCCAATTAATTCATATCAAAGAATAAAAGGAGGATGTTTTGAAATGCAGAAAACAGAGAACTAATTTTTCAAGTTTTGAATTGAAGAAATCACTTACAGAAGAGACCCAGAGAACAATAAAAATTGCAGCAATGTTGAAAATGATGATGAAATGAAAAATGTAAGAATTAGAGATACCTTAGTTTTGATTTATTTTTGTTGCAACAAAAGACATGAGGGCTCATTCCCTAAAGGGAGGCATTGCCATTTTTAGTTAGCTGTAAATTGATTGAGAAATCGGTGATGCATCTTAGAACTTATTGGTCCTTATCGTTTCATTCAACAAGTATAATGAATGTGCATCTTAGTTCTCAATGGTAGATTAATTATGTGTTTACATATATTTATAAATCAAATAAGCAATTTTGTAAAAATTTTCTATAGGGTTCAGTGTATCATAGATTGACTATATCTGATCTAAATTAATTTATCAGTTTTTATGTTGAATATGTACTCTTTTATTTTATAACTAATAAAAACATTTAAAACATGTAAGTAAATTAACAATGAGTTTAGTTTCATGTTGCTGAGAAATAAAAATAAAGTGAATCAATAATTGGAATATGGAAAATTACAATTTTAGTTCACTTGAAACAAATATTGAATTTTTACAAACTAATAATACCACCATGGCAGAATGGTTAAGACCACTGAATATCAGTAATTATATCAGCCAAATGAAAGGGCATGTTTGGGTTTTTTGTCATTTTTCTCATGCGTAACATGAATATGAATGAACCAGTTTCCTTTATAAGGTTATCTAAGAAGGCATCCATCCTTTTAGGCAAGATAGCCTTGTGTGTCTTTGCCATAATTAAATAATTGGATTTAACCTTATCAAATATTAAGTATCAAAATAATCATAGAAGTAAATATAAATACTTTTATGATTATTTTATGACTATAGGAAGAACCCGATTAAGAAATTTCGGTACCCTAGATGGCATAGTATTCTTTCAGTCCACCCAATTATCTATTTTTCTTGCTTTATATGTGAAAAATGCGATTATAAAGGATCATAAAATAATTTTGAGCCCACTAAAATAAGGAATTTTAAACCTAAGCCTTGTTGATCAAGACCATATTTAAATTAAAAATTTTACTTACTATGATTGCCTAGTACATTTATGAGCATCGAAACAATCCTGTGATTCAAAAGTATCCCAGCAACCAGCACAAAATGTTAAGGTCCCTCCTGGTAGGTGCGAATCACTGGATTTTTCAACTTGTTGAATTTGCTGAACAGTTTGTGTGTTTGGAGAATAATTTTCTTTTGAATCTTCAAATTCCATTTCTGGTTTCAGCAAAGTTTCATTTTCATTGTGCTTATTTTCATTATTCGTATCATTTTTTTGTCTTCTAAATGATATATGATCCCAACATTCTTCAGTTGCATCTGATTGAATGTGATCATTTTGAAGATATAAAATGGACTGATTTTCTACTGGAAGATTTCCTGCAGGATGTGGAAGAGCTTGTTGATTGTTACCACCAACATCAAATATATATTGTTCAGAAAACTGTTGACCTTTTGCATGATCAAGCAAACAACCTGATGTTTCTTGCATTGTAAAATTTTCTTTGCATTCTTCCTGAATCAAAATTGATTCATCCCCTTGCTCTGCACAAAACAAGTCACCTCCTTCAATTTCCTGAGATGATAATTGTTCCACATCTCCAATTAACTGATGAATACTCATCATGGAATTAAAATTCATATTCTGATCAAAAACTGCAGCAGTTTCTTCTGGGAGAACAGATGACCTTCTTGAACTGTGAAATTCTGAAATATTTACAGACACAGCATCTCTCTCGTTAACTCCAAGTACTGGCCCTGACACAGTCTGATTTGTGGGAAGAACCACTTGTCCTTGGCTAACGAAAGAAAAATTACAGTATAAATATTACTATAATGCACATACATCCTAAAAATTAAAAATTAATTAATCAATTTCACAAATCACTGATATTTAAAATAACTTATTTATTTCTCTTCAAGAAGAGCATATATATACATAGGGTGATAGAAATCAGTAATTAACTAAAATCTAATAAAACAATAATAAAAAAATCAATGCATTTAAACTTTTAAATCCTAATGTATTTCAAGACAGCTTAGAAGTTTTACCCCTAAAAAAATAAAACATTAGCATTATATTTGCTTACATATCTTTGTCCCATTGTTACTTTTGCTGCCCCCACTGTTTAGAAGATTAGAAAAGATATATCAATAGAAGAATTAATATTTATTATTCAAAGGTTATATTTATAATTTTTTTTCAATATTATTCTTTTCACTTAGTGACCATTTATCACAACTACGTAAAATATTAAAGGATGCTCTGATAGCAGGCTTCCAATACTGCTTGGCAATTTAATTTACCTGAAATACACTCCACTCATTGCGACCAACAGAAATGGGCTGGTAATGTGTATATCAATTTTCGAATTCCCTGACTTTCTCCGGTTTTCCCGGTAGCGTGGCAACTCTGATTTATACTGAGAAAATCCTTAGCAAGGAAGGAAAGGATTTATCTATGAAGGTACTTTAAATACAATGAAAATAAATTTAACAATTAACATACATAGTATTTGTGTAATAATTAACAATTATTTTGTAATTGTAATTTGTGTAAGTAATAAACTTAGTAATGTACCCTATACTGAAGTAAAAAAAAATTAATTGATTAAACATTGCTTGAATTAACATATAAAAATCTGCAAATGCTAATAGTAGATTAAAAAATCTCATATCAAATGGCATTTATTAAGAAAAACCTAAGACCAATTAAATGTAATAAACAAAAGTATATATATATAATTCAGATGAAATAAAATTTAATAGGAAAAACTACACAGAAAAATCATAAGGGTAAAGGAATTTTCCTAATTTAGGTTTCATTAACTCAATAAATTTCATTTATTGTTGGGAAAATGTTCCTGAGTAAAACATTAAAAATTAATAACCAGGAGATAGGTGATCTACCAGGAGATGTGATGAAAAACTTGGAGAGCCGGCAATAATGGATTTTTGCTAAAGACTACCTTTTAGAGGTAAAAAATTATTGTGAACATTCATCCCACATCCCAAACTAATTCCTGACATAGTAGCTACTGAACATTCTGAAATAGAAAATTATTTTAATGAACTTGCTCCTGTTCAGACTTGTTCTAATCTGACAAGAAAAACCTGTTGAAAGACTCATCATTAAGCACAAACTTTTGTTGAGAATAGATTTTGAAATAGCTCGAGCTAATTAGAAGATTAATTAATAATTAACTCGAGCTCAAAGTTAAGAAAGAACAGTAGGTTTATATGCAGTGCTTAACTGCTTACCCATAAACATTCACACATTACACATTTATAAAACATTATACGCTGATTTATATATCATGCACATTTATCTCTATTTAACAGATTTTTTTAAACTATATGCACTCTATTATTTTGTACATTATTTAAGTCAATAAAATTAAAACATGCAAACAAATTAATTAATAACTTAGTTTTATCTAGCTCATGAATAGGAACAAGATGAGCCATATAACTGGAGTCTAGATAATTGAAGTTCTACTTGACTACAAATGAAGCCCGACTTTTTACTAATTATTAAACCTTGTATGATTATCTTACGGCTAATACAGAGTCTGATTAGGAACTTCTGGGACCTTAAATGCTGCATTCTTCCAGAGACCCCCAATACCCACCTTCTTTGTTTCTATAACAGGAAAATAGAATAACAAGCCATCATAGGATGGCTTGGGGCTTTAGGCATGGGCCTTGTCAGCTTAGACAAAAACCAGATCCTGGTCATAAGTACAGTCCTTCAAATCTTAAAATAGCACTTCTAACAATAAATACCTGAACAAAAAATGTTTGCTTACTTTGCATGCCCAGTACATATATGAACTTGAAAATGAGCCTCTGATTCAAAAAGATAATTGCAACCACAACATTGATATTGATTCATCATTGGTGGATTTGAATCAATAAAATCTTCAGCTTGCTGAAACTGTATTCCTGCAACTTGTTGATTCATATTTAAATGAACACCTCTGTCCATTCCATAAAGACCACACTTTCGACCTATTAATTAGAGATACAGATAAAAATAATTACAATGTAGGTATGATTACTTAAGAGAGAAAGACGTTTTAAAGCACATATTTACCTAAAAAGCCTGTTAGACACATATTGTTTTAAAATTGATAAGCATTTTCTAAATGAAAACTGTTTGCAAATTGCAAAAATTGTTGAAATGCATGAACCCATTTTATTTGCAATCAAAAACAATTTATGGCTGAAATTTAGCTAATTCTTTTTATCTTTTCAGTTAACAAATTTGCTTTTATGCTTCTCTTTCAGCCTTACCAATAAATAAATAAATAAATCTATTTACTTAGTAAACAACATATAAATTTTAACATCTTATTTCACTGATTACCTTTTTCATAAATATTTTTTAAGGAGTTATATTGTTTTTGAGGACCAGCTGTGGCAGAATGCAGCCTGCAAAATATATCTATAATTTTAAAATACACCTCAGTAGTAGCCCTGCATAAGAACTATGCAATTCTCGAGTAAGGACTTGAAGTCCTGAATAGATACTCATTAATTCTTGATCCTATGTATTAACAATTCTGCATAAAATACACAAGTAAAACTTTATTTGGAATAAGAAAGAAATGGATCTCTATATTTCCGCCCCAAAAACAAAATACCAAAGAATAAACAGGTATGATACATACATTAAAGAAAAATGGAATTTGTAAAATAATGAAAATATACCTTGATAAGAATTTGTCTTTAAAGCAGATCTATCACAATGAATCTTCATGTGATTGACTAATGCTGCCTTCTTTAAGAAACCTGAAACAATACAAAAAATGTAATGAATCAAAAAAAGAGAGAGAGGAAGAGAGGTTCAAAGAAAAGAAAAAAGACCAAAGAATTTTTTACATACACCATTCTTAAAATATGAAACTCTACCTCCAGTTACAAATACTAAAGTTACTGATTAATACTTTACAATTTCTTTAAATTTTGAAAAAAAAAATGATTTTCTGCTGAAATTACACAATACTGATGTTAAATTAATATTACAGTCAAAAGTCGTTAATCCGGACTCATTGAGACTTCGGCGATTCCGGATTATCGATTTTTCCAGATTATAGATCAACAGTTTAAATCGCGTAAGGTGGCATGCAGAAATTCTAAAATTAAAAATATGAAACTGTAATTTATGAAATAATAGGTATCAAAATTACAAAAAAAAAAAAAAAAAAAAAAAAAAAAAAAAAAGCTTCATATTATTTGTTTACTTTATTTAAACATTTCTTTCAATGTAAGTTGTTTAAGTTCCTTCGTTTTATGTGATAATACTTTCTCTTTAATTCTATAAACAGACATAATTTTTTGTTCAGTTACAAAGTTCCGCTGTTCAAGTCCCGTTAATTGCTGTGCCGAGAATACCGACTAACTTGTCAATCGAAAATTTTTCGTTTTCACTAACCTCTCTGTCACATTCTTCACGTCTTTATCCATTTTTTGCAGCAATTCCACTTTTTGTTTGATGGACATCGAAACATACTTTCGTTTTGTACGATCCTTCGGGAGCTCCAGATTCGGAAATTCTATTTGACATAATCGAAAGTTCAAGTTTACTTTTATAGTATTGCTCTTACAGTCTGCAAAAAATAATAAGCCGGATCCAATTCGAAAAATTAAGGAACAACGCAATCATTAACATTAACTGAAATAGATAATTAGATAATTTTAGCTTACACCGTTCGTTATATATAAAACGCACACGCGAAAACGTATTCTGCGCTTGCGCACACGCAAATGCGCAGTCGTAAGAGGTCTTATGCCCATGTGTAAACGCCTATGCGCATGTATCAACGCGGCGCATGTGCAGAAAGTTTTTAGCTTTGAGGTCCGGATTATGGGTGTCCGAATTAACGACTTTTGACTGTATTTTATCAATTATTACAAACTGCAGTTTTATAGTAGTACCTTAGAATAAGGGACACCCACCAGACCAGACATTATGTCCCTTAAATAGAGGTGTCCCTTCTTCAGAAGGGGCATACTAAAAAATGTAATTATAAATTCAGGTTGTATCAAGCTTTAAATAAATGATAAATAATTAAGTAACATAGTCACACATATTTATCTGAATTCCAAGTTATTGAAAGTTATGCATTGCAAGCATGTGTTTCAATGTGGATATTAAAGTTATTGATGACCTTAATTCTTCATTTTTACCAACAGTTATATGAATATTTTTAATTGGGAGGTGTATTTTAAGGTCTTTATACACTTTTTTATCACACACATTTAGTTTGACTCTTCTTTGTCTTCCTTATTGCTTTCCAAGCTATTTTTGTTAAAGCTCATATCTTTAACTACAGAGGAAATAAAAAATTTTATGTTATCATTGGTGTCTTCAGTACAAACATTTTCATCAATTTCTAAATATTCTTGCATTTGAGCACTACCCCTGATTTTGAGAAGTACAAAAGTTCATTATCTTTAGTAGTATTCTTAGCTCTTGTATTGAGGGCCCTCGAAAATTTCAAAACCTGCATTTTTAAAACAGTGCTGAACACAATTTTGTGATATAGATTTAATATCCTTTGTTATCCATTGAATGGCGTTCAATGCACTGACACATTTGGCAAGCTGACTGCTGTTTCTGTAAGCAGCTCGGCAAAGAACATGCTGTAAGTACAATTTTCTGTAGCAAACCTTAAAGTTACTAATTATACCTTGGTCCAAAGGCTGTAATAATGATATTGCATTTAGTGAGAAAAACACTAATTTCACTTTTACATTTGGTGTGTGGGTTGGAAAATTCAAGAAATAGCAGTATCTTCTTATTTTTTCTAGACATCGTTTCATCACAAGCAATTAACCATTCTAAAGCATTATCCGTGACTTAACCTTCCAGCACACACGTATGCGCAAAATTTACAACAAATTCAGTTTTTATGCACATTTTTCGCATAGCAGCTTTTCCGTAAAAGTTATGACACGCACATGTCCGTAGTGAAAATTCGGAAAAATTTTTTTTCTCAAATATTTTCTAATTTTGTGTTATTAATTGCCATGCATTATTTTAATCTGAATACATTTGGCTCTGTAAATTTTTTATCAGTTTTCATGGCAAAAAAATATGTGCAACCAGCTGATTTTGCTCTCATTCTTCAAGAATTATCTGATGAAGAAAAGGAACACAAGGAAACCTTTGGGTGGGAGAAAAATAGTGATTTCTACCAGGTGTATTTCTACCAGGTACCAGGTGTACCTACCAAGGTGTATTCCATTTTTATTTGTCTATACTTGCATTTGATGAATATTAAAATTAACTTTGATTTTAAAATATAATTATTAAATGATAAATTAAAAATATTCTATAATGAAATACATCATTGCATTTCCATCTCACTAACATAAGAAATTAAAAACAATTTACTTATATTTGAATGCGATATCATTTGTATTTTGCAATAATAATACTAATATTTTATTTCTTAACAAATTTATTATTAATATTCACTCATTTCTGTCATTTTTTGTGCCAAAAACGGTAAAATAATGGATGTTGTAAAAAATATGACGCGCGTGTGCTGGAAGGTTAAAGTAGTAAAAATGTAAAGTAAGTTTATTGTGATATTAGTTAAAAGTAACTTTATGTCTTTGTTTAAATTTATCTAACCAACCATTTCATGCTTTGAAGTTCTGTAATCCCAGACTTTCCGGAATTTCTTTTGCCTTTCCTTGCATTAACAAACAACTTACAGGAATACTATTTGCTCTTAAAGAACACGACCATTTGAACTCTACTGTATCAATTTCACATGCTTCACTTTTTCTAAATTTTACAATACTGGAATGTTTATTTTAATTAGTAATCCATATTTTTATTTCTCTTCTACCCTTTAGCACATGACTTCATTTTCATTTAATCTTTTATCTTTGAAACCATGCTAAATACTGTATCTAAATATAGCACACAAGTACAAAACTACACTTCTTTTGCCTCCCAGTCCTCATAAGAACTAAGAATGATAAAACTTATTTTAATGTTAATCTTTTTCTCTTTGAAGCCATGATAGATAATGTATGTAAAAATAACACCCATGTACAAACTACATTTCTTTTGTTCCAAAAAATTTGTTACACTTCCTTCACGAAATAACAGAAGAAAAGTGATTTGTATACAATTTTTTAAATGCACATAAGTATTTTACCTTTTTTGTAGACATAACTAAGACAAAAAAATTGCAATTCCTTAAACTATTTCTCGAAACACGTAAAAATCACAGTGCTCAGCATCCAGACGAACAAAATAACAACCATAATCATGCTTTTGCTCATTGGCTAATATACGCCAGACCCCCAGTGGTGCTTGATGCTCACTAGAGAACTGAAACATAAAGTTTACAGACACATGTGCTCTCACACACAAAGCAGAAATGTGCCATAATATCTCACTGATGAAACAACTTTATTTTTTTTTTATATGTAGTCTACAGAAAAACCAAGCACATTCAAGCACCAAAAATCACTTTTTTGGATGCAAGCAAAGTATTAAGCAACGTTACACATAGACAGTAGGAAATTTTAAGACTAAGAGAAAGTCAGAAGAAATATGTTGTAAATCAGATTGGCAAAAGTATGGCGAAAAATCGGGAATGTTGGCAACTCTGTTGCATGAATAGTTAAAAAATTTCAAAATCTTGTGGTAAAATGCTAACAGGAAAATTACAAACACAAGTACATATGGTAAATTCATTTTACCTAACCTATGGGATTAAGATATTTTATTCTGTAAAACAGCTGGTATTTGATAGCTGGTACTTTTTATGGCCTGTAATATATCATGACTCAGAATGGCAGAGGAATGCTAGCCTTTGAACTGATATTTTATTTTATGATTTGTAAAAACAGCATTATGGTGTCTTAATAAGCAATACTATTACCCAGTAGAAAGAATTTATCTGCAAACTGTCTTACACATAAGTTTTTAGTTATTAAGAAAGAAAGAAAGAATTTGATAAGAGCATTGGCAAAAGCATTAAAAATAATTTATTTTACAGAAACAAAAGCTGGCAATTTCAGATTAGCAACCATGCTAAGAACTGGGCCACAAATTTTTCTGAACTGAAGCATGGCAGCTTACCAAGGAAAATCATACTGCTTGCCCATATGAAATAAGCAAGTTTTTCCTCTTCGACAAAAAGTTATGAGTTAGATTTACAGATGAGCAAAGGCTGTATGTGCTTTCCTGGCTTATACTTTAACGTGGCTAAATAATCTGGGTAAGCAAACTGCAGGATGATCAAATAAAATCCTTCTTAATTTTTTATACATTAAATGTTTTTTTTCTTACAGGTAATTTACAATAAAATTATCCTTCCCATTATTTTTACTTATCTTAAAGGTTATTAAGAAGAAATAATATTAGGCCAGTACAAAAATATCTCTTGAAACAAATTATCCTAGTGACCTAAATCTTTTTTACATTAAAGTAACCTCAATGAACTACCAGTTAATCAAATTAAAAAAAAAAAAAAAAAATTGCTATCACTTTCAGGGAACTTAATTAGAAGGGATATATGTAAGATTTTTAGCCTTGGCCAAAATCTTAACAAAAATTTAAGATTTAACATAATTAATACATAATGGAAACAATACTTTTATTTCTGATTCAGTTAATCAGTTAGAAATAACTTATTTAGTCTTTAAAAAATGTTCAGAGGAATAAAACAATTTCATATGAAAACTACTAGCAGTAACAGCAATAAAATACATGTTTCGTAAGAAACAATGGTAGATTTTTTTTTCTTAATTTCCTAAAATTGATTTCATCAATTTCAAAATAAAAAAAGGGGGGAAAGAAAGAAAGAAACTAAAATGAGTTATAAATTTTATCAGAAGACACTGTTACTATCACATTACTTTCTGATAAAATACTTCAACATTTCTCATAAAGTATAAAAGAGATATCTTTCAGAAGTATTAACTGAGTAATTAATGTGGGGGTTGATTTTAAATAAAGGAGAAAAAATTGATTTTATAGAATAACAACATATTTCACTATTTTTTAATAAAATATGTGAAAGCTTATCATAGTTTTTTTAGATAAAAATAACTACATTTTTTTATTTTATTGCGATAAAATAAAATAATTGACATAAATAACCTCTAACAAAGGCAAAATATAGAATGAAATTAACCATACCTTTTTTACAAATGATGCATGTGAAATCTGTTTCACCCCTGTGCATTCGTAAGTGATTAAACAGACCAATTTTCGTCGTCAATTTCCTGTAGCATCCTTCCCAGGGGCAAGGAGTTGGTGGACTGAAACCAATAATTATGTAAATTAAGAACTGTGATATGTAAGACAGCAAATAGGTATTATTGCAAATTAATATGCGTAATATACAAAGGTTTTCATCACCTAAGGATAGCTGAAAATCTCATACTGCCTTTTTTTTCTAAGAATGAAAAACAATTCATCCTAAATTTTCAGTCATTCTAAAAATCAATTTCAAATAAATTTTCATTCTAAAAATCAATTTGGTACCCTGTATGCTTTGCCTGGGGACAGATGTTCCCCACCGTAGCTGCGACACTGACATGAGAGAGAATTTACTCCCATATAATGATTTGAGAAGTAACTTAAAAATACTCGTTTTAGAAATATAATATAAAACAATTATAAGGTATTTCTCAAGCCTTCTTAGCATGCCTTTGTGGTGTAGTGGTCAGCACATTCAACGTGTATTCAAGAAGTCCGTGGTTCGAGTCCCGGCAAGGGCATTGCTCATTTTTCATCTCTCCTGCTTTCAAAAATACCTAATGTCTTTACAGTGGCATCTGAACTAAAAAAGATGGTGGATGACGATTCTCCACCACCAGGATTTGGTGATTGGGTCCCAGTCGCCCTTTAAAAGGGGAAGTATATGTATAAGGTATTTGTCCCGCCTTCATGGTGTAGTGGTTTGCACACTTGGCACATATTTTGAGACGTCCGTGGTTCGATTTCTGTTGAGGGCATTGCTCATTTTTCAAGTCTCTTGCTTCCAAAAAATCCTAATGTCTCTACACAATTACTAATAATATAAGATAACAGATTAGGTGGATTACAGTTCTTTATGCCATAGTGAATCCACAGTCATTGCGCAGTCTTTTTGTTAAGTGCCAACAGCAGCAAGTCAAACTTCAAAAGTTAGAAGGAGAAGAGTAAAATCCCTCTGACCAAGTCCAATCTCAAAATGTGGGTAGAAAGTAATACAGTTTTGGGGGGGTTACATATATTATTTACATTAAATTTAAAACATAATTCTTGTCTTAATAACATAGAAAAAGAAACAAAAACAATTTGGGAAAAATCTGTTACAAATTTTTAGATCCAGTTTATGCTATGTTATAAATTTTCTTTAACTGAAATCTGTGACTGTTTTCATTTTTCATCTACATAATAATACATCATCGTTCTTAATAATTATGGTGAAACAGTTTTACAACTAATTCAGTGTTTGTACTGTTTTACTGAATAACTTCAAAGGAAGTGAAAAGTTTAATCAAGTTCAATCAATGTACTCCTTTTCAAGACCTCTAACTTACTTATGTCATAAATAAATAGCTTTAGAAAAGCAAAAATTCAGCCTGAAAATTTCTGCGATACATATTACTAATGCTGAAGAAATAGAAGTTCAATGATTCACTACAAGCTCGCTAAGTGTTCTACAAAAAATGTGCACGAAAAAACAAAATTATGGCGCACATGATTATTAGAGATTTATTTGTGTAAAGCTGAGATACTTAAGTTAATTACCAAAAGTTTACTAATCATCTTGCTATGTTATGGATCAGTAATGAACAAATATAAAATTAGGGGGGGGAGAGATGCAAAATTATAGACAATAGAACTTTCATAATCTACAAATTTCTAACCTATGAATAGCTACAATCTGCGATCTTTTAGGATGTAAACAAACAAAATGGTGGCAAATTCACCAGCAACAATGATTTTTTAACAAAAAATATACTACATTAATTACATAATTTAGTTATTAAAACAAATTTATTTTATTAATGAACTGAATTAACATTTCTACATACACAATAATGGTTTTTTTATTATTGTTGTTATTATTACATGCAGATTCAATTACTAATCTACAAATATTTCATTTTAGATAAATCTCAATTTTTGGATGTACATTCCACTCACTTTTAAGATTAATTTTGAAAAATTTTTATTCACTTTTAAGACTGATTATGGTAATTATATGTAAACAATTTATTTGTTCCCTCTTCTTCAGATACTTTGGTCAAACTTTAATACCATAATTGGTTTTTCCAAATTAAATAGGCCCTTCTGGGTGGCACAGCTTTTTGGGTCTATTCATAAACACCTGTTTTTAAACAGCATTTATTAACTAAATTTATAGAATACTTATTTTAGTCTCTCTTTTCATAAACTTCCACTCAATAAGATGATATTTACATCATTAAAGAAAGCAAAAAGGGAAATATTTTAAATTATTAAGCTAATATATACTAAGTGATGGAAAATCTCCTGACTAGGTAAACTGGCCATGCCACTCAGGGATTAAAAGCGGTATTTGTTAAGATTTCCTAGCATGCAAAACAGGAAACTGCAAAAAAGAGGAAGTAGTGACAAAATAGCTTAGGAATTAATTTTATGCAAATTTTTACCAATGTGATATTTGAAAATATATTGGTTTATTTATTTATGCTTTAATTTAAGAGCACAACAATTATTTTCAAAATAATTTCATTTTGTTTACGTCAAACGTTTGGAAGCATTTTTATAAGAGTTCTCTCACTATTCAAAAAATTTCTATCATTTACCCTTTTCTCTGCATTACATTTGCCTCTTGTATTCACATTATTTTTGCTTTGAGTCTGAAATGCATCACTACAGTTCCATACATTAGCAACATAAATATGTGTTTTGTTTTTTTCACTTTTAAGTTTCATGTCTGCTATACTTGAAATTTTTAATTTATCAGTTTCTTAATATCTTGTATGTCATCACTGACATTCTTTAGCACTTTGCAGATTTTTCAGATTTTTAAGTTATCTCATGCAAAAGCACAAGCAGCAGAATGCTTTTATTTGCCAAAAATGAAACTTCAGATTTGCCAGAATTTAAGGAAATATTTTAGATTAGATATGGCTTTCAAAGATGAGGCTCCTATTAAATAACTGGCTGGTGATGATATTATTTTAAATGTTTTAAACCTCAGTTAATGAAAATCTAGATACTGAGTCTGAAAACAAGGGAGAAAGTATTACTTTCAATGACAGATTAATTAACATTAGGCTGAAAATATCTAACATTCTAGAAAAACTAAATTTTGTAATGCATATGAAATAATGACTATGTAGACTTCAGGTAATAGAACAAGCAACAACAGAAATGACATTCCATAAATATAACAGTGGTCATAAGTAACAAGAATATGTATGTGTGTGTGTGTGTATTTACGTATGTACACATATACTTATAAATTAACAACTTTTACAAAATAATTAGGACATAAAATAGTAAACTCTAGTGCTTATGCATCTTAGATCTAAAAATGTGTTTTTTATTTACAAAGCAATTTTTTAATAGTAGGAAAAAATTATACTATTCTGGAAGTAAAAAAAACTATTGTAACCCAAAAAAAAAATCTTATATTTAAAATAATCTTAAAAATAAGCAATAAAAATTTTTTAAAACCATGAATGACAATCTGTAAATTATTTATTCATAGTTTAATGTTCTTGTTAGACATATCAAGGTGTAACTAATTAAAGCATTAAACAAGAGCAATTAGTCTTGTCTCTTTATTCATGATGACAAGAAACAGAAATTTTACTCCTGGCCAGACAACAATAGGTCTTGCTAATCGCTACTAGCATTTGCATATTTGCTACTAGCATTTGCATATTTGGTGGTGATTAAACAATGCTGACTTACATGCACAGAAACCTACTGCAAACATTCTGCTACGAGTACACCATTATTGGGTAAGATTATGCTGATGATGAATACTGCTTTACTGTTAACAGTAAATTTGGTCACCAGTTAGTTTGGAGACAGAGAGAAGACTCGTTATCACCATCAGAAAGTCCAAAAAACTGATCACTGTAGTCAAGGGACAAATATCAAAGCTGTGTATTACCTGAACATAAATTTCATACAGTACACCTGGGAGGCTGAGATAATGCTCAAAGAAGTAATCCTCTTAAATTTCAAAAGAACCCAAAACCACCTTGAGAGACGAAGAGGACAGAATTCCCCAACCACTCTCAAATAATTTAGTGAACAGAATGCATAACATATGTCAAAAACATCAGCTGATTAAGAATTAATTGGGTGTACATAAAACCAAGGCAAAAGGCCTTATGACTGAGTAGTGACACCACACTTATTTGTTACTGGTGCTAAATCATGTCTTTCGGTGACAGTGTCCAAAATGTGCTTTATGATGGAATTACAAGGTGTTTCATTTGCTCAATTTATCAGAGAAAGGGAGAGTTCCTTAAATTCTAAAATATTCTGACTACTTGAGCTTTCCAATTAGTTGAATGCTGGATAGTCAGACTTTACTGAATCTTATCTTAGTAAAATATTAACAGTTGCATAAGATATAAATTACTTATTTTTTATCAATTTTCTACTTTATTGAAGAAAAGCTCTTAAAACATTTTTAAAAAGGGGAAAAAGAAAAATCATTAATATACATACAGATGAACTTCTGAATGTAGAATCAAGAGCTCTTTCCTTATGAACCGTCGATGACATTTAAGACATTCATGTGAAATGTTATGAATAGAATGATGGCTCTGCACAGCTTCAGAATTTGAAAGCTTTAACCCACATATCTATGTAAAGATTTTAAAAAAAAGACTGTTTAATATGCTTATTTTCTCCAACAATATAAAGTTTCAACATTTAGAACATACACAAATATCAGCAGATATGTGAACAAAAGATATACAATTGACTGCTTATTATTGACATGATCATATTCATAATCTAGACTTTAAACACTAAATGTTTTATAAATTGTATGGTAACACATATAATTTAAGACATGTCTTCTAAAATTATATATATGAACACATATGTGTATGTATGTGTATATATATATATAAAGGAATAAATACAAAGTAAAAAACAATTCAAAACCTAACTTGCCCTGATAGCAGCAACAAGTGGTGTGATAATGCAAAATAAAATAAAAAATAAATACATTTAAAATCCATCCCATACTCAGTTTGGAATAAACCACATGCAGCTTTCATTACCGGAAGAAACCCAGATGGCATGGGAGCGATCTCGCCAATGTTAGAAGCGTGTCGCACACACAGAAAATTTACTGCTTTTCTCCAAATTTAAGCCAAAAGTGAAGAACGTCCTGAGTTGGCACGTACAAGTTTTTCTGCTCCAGAGAAAGTTGAGTCGGTTTCAATTACAACAGCCTGTATTTATGCAGAAGACTAAGAAGAAACAATTCCATTCTTGTGTCTAGTGTGATAAGGAAACACATAATTCCTACGAGTGCTTTAAGCTGCACAATCTTTCACTGGAAGATAAGAAAAATTTAACAAGTTTTATTTGTTCTAACTGCTTAAAAATTGGGCACGGAGCCCAATCTATGTCACTGATTATGTACTATAGGCAGATTTACAAACTAATTGTGATTAAAATAATCTCAGGGTAATGGATATGACATGAAGTGGAAGACAAATTATTTTTATTGATTTGCTAATTTTATATCTAAAAAATATCAATTGATTTTTTTTTCGTATTTTAAATTATAGAAATATAGTCATTTTTATGCAATGCATTGCTCAAATTAAACTTTAAATATTAATATATCTTGAATTTTCTTTCTTTTCTTCTGGGACAGCACATGTAAGCAAAATTTGAAAATTGGCCATAAAGCAAATGTGAAAGGCTGGACTGAAGAATCCTCCAATGATTCTAAATCTAGAAATTCATTGCGTATTATTTTAATCTTCCCCCATACTATTGCAAGCACTCTCAACCATGCTACATATTCCAAAAAGTGCTTGCTCACAGTTATTCATTTTGGTACCAAATGTCAATAAAACAGTAAGAAGTTTTAACACACAATTTGAACAGACTCCTTAAAATTCTGCTTTTGCAGAAATTGGTGTTAAATATTGATTTTGGTATATAAAAAATAATATTTAGACAATTTTTAATCGTTTGGTGCCAATCTTTCTTTTGGTTCACTTTTAGTCAAGAAATAAAAAGTATTTGCCTTTAAGAAGCCATGTGTAAAGCATATTATTACTAAATTTTACATATATGTGATTACTTTTAGTGAAGTCGTTTAAAACTGTATGATTTTTTGTATAATGTAGCAGGAAGTGTTTAAAAGATATGATGCTCTGCCATAAAAATAAATTACAGGAGGCAGGTCTATTTAACATCGAGTAAATGGCTATCTCGCTATATTTGTGAGATATCACTAAGTTAACAACTAATTTGTGTAGCCAAATTTAGCAAGAAATCCCCAAAAGTGATGACATTTTGTTCCGGGCCATGTATAATTGTAACTGGTATTGTGACTGAATAAATTTGATTAATCCCTATATGTAACTGTATCCAGCCCTCATATACCTTCCTGTAATTTTGAGAAGTGGAAGGTACTAGAAATTTCATGGATGCCAGGAGAAAACTGTATAAGACCAAAGAGAGTATGAGTTTCTCAGCTGTTGTTTAGTGTAGTGCAAATTTAGAGTATTGAGACATCTCCATGAGAGTTTTGCCATTTCAGATGTGCTTTATATAGCTTTGTTTGAAGTGTAACTACTGATTGTGCTCTATAATACTATGAAAAGTTGTATGAGTATTTTTATGGAAAGTTCCAGAACTGTTGAGTGTTCCTTATGGTAAAATAAATTTATCAAGCTACCATCATTTCGGCGTGCATTCAATCTATTACGAGCCCATATGCACACAACAATATTTTCCTCAGAACAGTTTGGAATAGTTAGAATTAATATATATTTAACTTATTATTATCCACATTTTGAAAACTAACAGCTACAGTGGTTTTGAAATTAATTTCTTTCCATTTCCTGTAATGCATCTTTAATGACTGATTTTGACTACCTTTATAAATTTAAGACCTATTTAAGGAAAAAATGATTTGGATATTAAGAAACAATTTTGTTACCTTATATAATTAAAATTTTAAATTAAAGTAATAATAATATTTTTTCAAAAATAATAAATTTTATTCAAAAAGATTTATTTACCTCACAGATATTTGCTACCTCTGGATGTTTTTTTTCAATATGCCTTCGCCTCAAATGAGGTTGAACAAATACTAATCTACACTGTTGGCACGAATAACTATGACTATCAGTTTCCATATGCTTGGCAAAAAAGTCAAATAATCCAAACCAAGAGTGGCACACCTTACAGCAATGATTATGAGGCTTAGAGCGATTATGCCTTGTCTATATAGAGAAAATAAATGTAAATTATCAAAATAATTTCAATTATGAATTATAATTTTTTTCTACTGTCAGTTAAGTAATTCATTTAAATCACATTATATTATTAAATTTTCATATGATACAATTTATTACTGTTTCAAATCATATTTAGCTTCACTATAAGATTACCAGAAACAAGTACTAGATAAGCTCAATGCTTTCGTACCGGGTGAGCATAATAAATATAGTATTTGTAGTTTCGAAAGATGCCTATGTTCAGTGTAGTGGCTACATCTCTTACCTTTTTTTGTAGCCGAGACACAGTGAACTGCCATACTTAATGTCTCTAACAGTTTAATTTCTTATCTCTTTAAAATAGTTAGCCACCAAATCTCTAATAAATTGAAAAAGCAAATGCGTGAAACTCATTATGGTATGAATTACATAGGAATGAGAACACGAAAAGTAAAAAGTAAAAAATAAGTCCAATTTTAAAGTTGCATATACATTTTGAAACCTAACAATAAGATTAAATCAAGATTCAATAATATTAAATAATAAGTAAATAGCATTAAATAAAGATTAAGTAAAGATGGATCAAATGTTAGGCCAGCAGCCAAAGGGGCCCAGAAGGGCTATTAGTCTAAAAACGGCATTTTGTATTGAATCACTAGAAGAGATGAATCACTTTTCAAATTGTTACCATCAAATATTATCACTCTGTATTAAGTACTTAAAGAAATTAAATCATGAAAAACCTGTATCAATGTATGTATGTTCTCACATTGTAAAAAAAACAACAGTACATAGAGCCATCGAATTTTGAATAACGTAGGTCTCCACCCGAATATGTGCACCTGGAAGCCTGAATTTTGAGTTCGTTTTATTATCTATTTCCTATTTAATAAAGCTTTAATGAATTTTTGATTAAAAAAACTCAATGATTTCAAAGTGACCAGAGACAACACTGTGTAGAATAAAACATTTTTACCCCCCCCCAGCGCGAGAGACTGTCTTTCGCAAATTCTAAAGATATGCTGTTCTTAAATACTTTTAGCCCAACGAGTCATTAGCTGAAATGTTCTCAAAATGTGTATGTGTAAATGGGGGAAAGAATGTTTGGGTATAATATCAAATCTGAAAGCTTTAAACTTTTTAAAAAAATTCTCTTGTTTAACTTTACAACATAACTTAGTAAAAATTTTAAATATTAATAATAATGATTAACATACAATAAATTGTGCCAAATTTGATAGTACGAACAGCACGCTGCATGCAGATAGGGAAAAATTTGGTTGCTCTTTCAAGCGAGTTTCAGAGATGTACAAAAACTAATCAAATGAGCTTTGCTTTGGAACAACAAAGAAGGGGAAGTGTTTTTGAACAGAATTAGGGAGAACAGTAGGTGAGAGATTTTTCCCTTTAGCCTTGTAAGATTAGCTGAGTGCATCCACATCACACATCTTTTTTTTTTTTTTTTCCCCTTCCTCTTCACCTTTAATAATGTAAAATAGCCAGTCCAGACCACCCTTTATTTAGAGAACTCAAAGATTCTTGTGTAAATAAGAAGTTATCTCTTGAAAGAGAAACAGTACTACAGAGTGTGTAAAAATTAACTCCATATTGAAAGGGAAGATACTTCTAAGGAACAAAATATTTTATTCGTTCATAAAAATGCACTAAATATTAAAAAAGTTATAAAAAATTTTGAACATGGGTTAATACTCACTCACTCTGTAGATGGGGGAAAATGCACCTTTTTAACTACCAGTCCAAAAAAGTTAAACGATATTTATTGCAGAATAACGAACCATTTTCCAATTACAAGTAATTTTCCAGTTACACTAAATAAGATTGTTTTCATTTACAATTTACCCATTAAATAATTTGAATTTAGTAAACCAAATTAGATCATTTAATTTTTTAGCATATTTATCAGACTATACACATGTTTCAATTTGAATAAACATTTTAAACAACATTTTCATACTTTTACCTGCCAATTAGGACAAAAATTGTTAGATTTTTTCAAAAGAAATGACAAAATTTAGTAGACACCCAACTAAACCTCAACCTTAATATCTAACGAAGGCCTTTAAAAAAAACTATTACACTTTTTCTACTTTCAAATCTGTCAAGCTTTTCTACAGACTGTCTCAATGTACAAACTTTCAGGGAGAAATGGAACATTTCTAGAAACTATATTAATAAAAGAAAGTATGACTAGATACAGCACCCCCAGGAAATAAAAGTATTACAAAGATATAATAAAAATATGATATAGAAAGCAGCATAAGGTGCTTCATTATGCTAAACTTAATAGTTAATGTAAGCCATTGATGTCTAACTGCAAGCTACACTTCAGTACTTTAATGACAGTCAGATGCAATGGCTTTAAGTAATGAGTACAAGGGTAATTTGGAAAGTAATCACCATCACGATGATGATAATAGTAGTTGTTGGAAGGTACCTTTGTTACATCATGCAACCTATGATTGAAGTAGGTTACCAGTTGTGCTAGTGATAGGATTGTACTGCTTAGCAGCTGTTGCTTATAATGTCACAAAATGTGCTCTGATACATGAACTGATAATATTTCTTCGAGTGAAAAATCTGTCAGCAGCAGATACTCATCATAAATTGCACATTGTGTACTGCAAAAAAATTATGAGTGAAAGCATTGAGCATCAATGGATCAGATTTTTCAAGGGAAAAAAAACTGGAACCTGGGTGTGGTAGGCCTTCCGTGAGTGATATCTCATCAAAGATATTGACAACAAAGTTCATGAGAACTGACAATTCACATTCTGAAAGTTTTCTGAAAAATTTCTGAACATTTCTCAAACTGTTTTATATGAGGTAGTCACTTGAAAATTAGGCTATAGAAAGTGGTGCTTAGTGGGTCCTTAAAATTCTTACAGAGATGCACAAAATTAATTGAATGAGCTCTGTCTTAGACTTTTCTGGAGCAACAAGGAAGGGGAGGAGTTTTTGAACAGAATAGTGACTGGTGATGAAACTTAGGTAGTGTATTTTAACACTGAGACAAAGTAATAATCAACAGCATACAGGTTCTCCAAACAAAATGAGGTAAGTCCATCAGACTTTATCACCAGGGAAGGTTATGGTCATCATCTTTTGGAATGTTAAGAAAATCTTATTTGTTGACTTCATGGAACTTAGAAAGACAATTACCTTTGAAGTTTACAGTAACACTTTAAAGAAACTCTTCAAATGAGAATAAATATCAGTTTGCAGACATCAGTTTTTCTTTTTTTCCCTGACAATGCTCGCCTCACATTGTTCGGTGAACATAAGACCTTTTGCAGAAAATCAAATGGGATTTATTTTTATCATCCCCCACACAGTTCAGACTTCCAATTTTCCTTTGTTAAAAGAATTGGCTTCGGAGGCCAATACTTTGCTGACAATAAGAATCTTCAAAATGTTGTGACATGTTGGTCGAAATTCCAGCTAGCAAAATTTTAAGCAGAGAGATTTAAAAGATGGTGAAATTCCTTGGCAAGTACTTGAATTTACATTCCAATTTTGTTGAAAAATCGTGATTTGTCGAGTGCAGCTGTACTTTTCAGATGTAATAAAAAGTGCATTGTATCTATATGCATTTTTTATTTACAGCCAAATAGAGGTTACATTCTGAATTATCCTTACAATATGCTTTTTTATGTTAATATATGATACAATCTGTGATTCAATAATCAAACCATTTTAATCATCTGTACTGTTACTTAATTAAGGTACAAAATATTTAATAAGTATGCAAACAAGGGTTCTTCAAACTACCGCTGAGGGCCAAATTTGGCTCGCAAGTACTAATGATCCTGCCTGTCGGGTTTATTTGAAATAATTTTATAAAATTTAAAGTAACAAATAATAAACATATTAACTATTTTATATGGCAGCCAATCTAAAAATGTGTTGTGTATTATGCATGATCTATATAAAACATATTATAAACATTATACAGCTGTTTCTAAATTTACAATGAGAGAAATACAGTTTCAACATTCTATGTAGAAAATCTCATGTGGGCACACATGACTTCCTTACACGTTCTATTCAATTACATATATTTTTTGCCACATTCCATTTAAACTTATTTTCTCGAATTTCAATAGAGATATATTTCTCATTCAATCAGTTCAATTCTCACTTCGCAGCAAAACAAAAATACATAAAAACTCAAAACATCTTCAAATAAAACAAGAGTTTAAAATGTAAACAAATGGCGGCTTCCTTAGGCTTAGTAGCACTTAAGCAATATTTAAATTCTTGATAAGTCTATAACTATTGCATGCAGATTAATGAAAGTCATCATGAAAACCTTAACCGGAACATAAAAACAATATAATTCAGTCACATTTTAAAGCAAAAAATGTACACTTTACCAACATATAAAAATTTTAAAAACTGAGCTCACCGAGCCAGGTAACAGAGTGGGTACTTTTGATGCAGCCAATTACAATCAAAAAGTGAAGTGCACAACTACACGTTATAGCAGTCTCATACACAAAATTTCAAAGTTTTGAAGCTACTCATTTTTGAGTTATGCGAGGTACATACCTGAATCCCTTTTAAAAATCTGTATTGCGGAAAAAAGTCAGTACAGTCAAAAGTCGTTAATTCGAACACCCATAATCCAGAATGATCTATAATCCGGACCTCAAAGCTACGAACTTTCTGCGCATGCGTTCATTTATGCGTGCGTGTAAGACCTTTACGGCTGTGAATATGCATGCGCATAATACGTTTACGCATGCGCGTCTAATGTATAACGGACGGTATAAGCTAAGCTAAAGTTATCTAATTCAGTTAATGTTGCAGATTGCGTTGTTCTTTAATCTTCGAATTGGATCCGCCTTATTATTTTTTGCAGACTCTTAGAGCATTTTTATTAAAATAAGCTTGAACTTTCGATTATGTCAAATAGAATTTCCGATATATACGAGGGCTATCCAGAAAGTAGATTACATTTTGGAATAAAAAATAAACAAGTATAGGAAACAATTTTATTACATAAGATGAAAGCCACACTCAATACTACTTTTCTACATAGTCACCATACAAATTAAGGCATTTTCGTAGCGATTGTACGAGCTTGGAAATTCCTTCGTCGAAAATTCGGCGCCTCGCCTTCACCACTTTGTACCTCTTCTTGAGCTGTGCGTCGTCATCAAAACGCTGCATAGCCAGCCACTTCTTCATTGCTGGAATAGGTGGAAGTCGCTCGGTGCCAGGTCGGGACTGTACGGCGGATGAGGAAACAACTCCCACTTAAAAGATTCAAGAACTTTACGAGGACATTTGCCGTGTGGGCCGGGCGTTGTCGTGAATCAACAAGATCTTAGCTCAACATTCCTCTGCGCGTGTTTGAATTGCTCTTCTGAGTTTTTGGAGGTTTTTGCAATACCTTTGAGAGTTTATTGTAGTGCCTCTTTCCAGAAGTCCACCAAAATTACACCTTTTCTGTCCCAAAAAACAGTCGCCATCATCTTCCTTGCCGACATTGTTTGCATGCATTTCTTGGGTTTTTTGGGGAGAACTTGTGTGCCCCCACTGCATTGATTGCAATTTCGTTTTCACAGTTCACATGTTCACCCATGTTTCGTCACCGTAACGATGCGATCGAGTAAGAGTCACCATCCTTATGGTAAGCGTCCAAAAAGTTCAACGCTGCAGCCATTCGCTGATTTGTGGTCCTCTGTCAAGATTTTTGGAATCCATCTTGCACAAAAACTTGTGGTAACCAAGCTTTTTCGCTGATGATTTTCGTGCAACAAACTTCGCGAAATTTGTGGAAAACTCAAGAAAGTTCCGTTATTGTGAAATTTTCGATTTTCACGGACTTTAGCATCGACTTTTCGAGAAGTTCGGCGGTCACTATGCTGGGTCTCTCCCACTTCGATCTTCGTCGTGAACATTGGTTTGGCCATTTTGAATCTTAGACCCACTGACGCACTCCACCTTCGTGATAATTTTTGTCCCCATACACTTCACGAAGCTGCCGATGATTTCTATCGGTTTACAGTTTTTTGCAGTCAGAAACCTTATTACTGAGCGCAGCTCGCGGGATTTTCAATTACGCCGACATTTCAAACGTCACAGTATCTGAACGGAGCACGCACGAACCCTCTCACTAGCACGGCTAGATGCAGACTGAGCTGCGCAACGCTCTGACCCCCAGATGGCCGCGCTAAGCCCGCCCCCTAGGACCAGACGGAACGTAATCTACTTCCTGGATGGCCCTTGTATTACTAATACGTAAAGGATCTACAAAGCGGAAATATGTTTCGAAATCCGAAATCTGTTTATCAATTTCACGCTGTTCTGGGGGAAGGCACGCCGCGGCGCGCAATGAATTGGAAGTTGATCTGTCAGCACTATCCTTATCTTCAGGGCAGATGTTTTTAATTTATTTGGCTTATAATAATTCCTTACTAAATGTAGTATTTCATCTCGATGTACTCCATCTTTAATATGATTTAAATCAAATTCCTCGTCATTATGATTCGCTTCTGATAGTGAAGAAAGTGACACAGAGGTTATTGAAAACGAAAAAATTTCGATTGACAAATTAGTCGGTATTCTCGACACACCAATTATAGGATTAGAACAGCGGAATTTTGTAACTAAACAAGAAATTATGTCTGTTTAATAGAATTAAAGAGAAAGTATTATCACATGAAATGAAGCAACTTAAACAACTTACATTGAAAGAAATGTTTAATAAAGTAAACAAATAAATATTCAGCTTTTTCTTTTTGTAAATTTTGAAACTCTTTAGATCCTAATTGTTCTTTATTTCATAAATTACGGTTTCATATTTTTAATTTTGTAATTTCTGCATGCCATCTTACCATATTTAAACTGATGATCAAGAAAAATCGATAATACGGAATCGCCGAAATCCCGACGAGTCCGGATTAACGACTTTTGACTGTACTACTCTTAGATATGCCCTCAGGTCGGCAAATGCGGTGATATGTGTTCTGTGCTAGTTTTTATCACAATTGCATGTTCTGAGATGGTTTAGGGTTGATTGCGTGTTCTGTGATGGTTTTGGGGGCGATGTTGGTTTCTATGGCTACCCTTTTTACATGGAAACTTGGATTTGACTGTAGTGATTTTAGTTGCTGGTTGGTTTGTTCGGTTGGTGATTTGAAATGGTTTATTATGCAATGAAAGATGTGATAGCAAAATGTTAGTCGCATACCTGGTACAACTATTTTTTCGGGTAGATGGAAATTCTACAAGATTTAACATTTATTTGTGAAAGATAGTATCAATTTTGTGGATAGTGAGTCTGTCATATAAATATGATAGATTGTTTTGGTGATACTTGAAATTGATATTTCTGCTGTTCGAAGAAGCATTCATTCATGGTAAGTGCATTTTATTTTATTCTTGTTCTTATTTTGTAGAATGTTATATTCATTGTTTTCTAGTATGAATTTCTGTCTTTATTGTTGTTTTTTAATTGTTTTTAATTTATTTTAGTTTATTTTGTTGATTAGTGCACAATTCCTAGACTGTGCAATTCATAGATTTTTTTTTTTTATTTTATTTTTTTTTTTTTTAAACAGAATTCTGTGTACATGGTTATCTTGAAATTTATTGTTATGGTAATTTATTTAAGCGAGGTGTGTATAGTTCGTAGATTCCTTCACTGCTTAGATTGTGCAATTCATAGATGTTTTTTAAGTTTAAACAGAACGCTGTGTACATGGTATTCTTTGAAATTTATTGTTGTTATATTAATTTATTTAAGCGAGGTGTGTGTAGTTCGTAGATTCCTTCGCTGCATAGATTGTGCAATTCTGTGATGTTTTTTTAAGTTAAAACAGATTGCTGTGTACATGGATTCTTGTCAAATATTTTTGGTCAGAAACTTTACATTTTTGCTATCTAAATTTTGGATTTTTAGCTTAAATTGTGTTCAAAACGTGGTTTTTGCACTTGAGAAAACCCCGTTTTTCAAAGCATTTTAGGTTTAAAGTTCAAAATGCAGACAAAAAACTTAGATAGTAATATGGCAATGTGGAGTTTTTTGCCAAAAATGTTTGGCAAGAAATTTTTTGCCAAGCAAGGGCGTACATAAGAGTAGTTTTAAAAAGTCTTATTCTTGCACAATATAAAATTCAACAGAAAAATTGCAGCATTGTCAGTACAGAAGTCAAGCAAGAAAAAATCGTTCATATGGATTCGAGAGTGGTCAAAATGGATATTTTCGTTGAAATATGATATCTGAAATTTTTTTTCAAATACAATAAATACTTCATACAAGGAAGTAAAAAATTCCCATTGTACTTTTTACAAGAATAAAGGTTTTGTGTTATCTTTTGTACTTTAGTAGTATTTTAGGTTGGTTCATAGAAATTTACAGTAGCGATAAAACTTAAATCTTAATTTTTGTCCTATATATGTTGTAATTTATTTTAATTTTGGAAATTTTTTTTCATTCAAAACTTGCCCAAAATATGAAATACTTATAAGTAAAGTTTGCACCTGATCAAAATGCACTGATAAATTATGACAATGGGGAGGTAAATCCATTGAAAAGTAAAGTTCATACTAAACTGAAGAAATCTCTAATATTCTGAGACAAAAATATACTTTTGTAAATGTTTAAAAACAGTTTTAAGAATTTTCTGTTAGGTGAAACTGCATGAAAGTATAAAAAACAAGGCTCTTCATAAGATCGCAGCATACAGCATCATAGCATACCAAAAAAATCTCACTGCCTTGTTTAAAAATGTGTATATTGTTCATCATAGTTGCATCACCATGATATGATGAATTAACTGGATCATGGCCCTCGAAGCTTCGTGAAAGTTTGGAGACCCCTGATGTAGATTATTTTGCTCTTTACTAAAAAATGTATTGAAAGTCAGTAGAAAATAAAAGCTACATAATTAATAAGTTGAAATATTTAAAAAAATTCATTAATATATGCCTGATATATTTATCTGTCAGCACTTTTTAATTTTTTGGAATTCTCTCAGTTTTAATCACCTGAGATCATTAAAATAATAAGAAATTTATTTCACAGAAAAAGATAAATAAGTCTCACCTGGATTTCCATATATTTTTCAACATGATATAAGCTAAGCAAATGGGCTTCTAATTCTTTATCTTCACCAAATACATTATCACATATGATGCAATAATGTTCCCCTTTTTGATTATGACTGAGAGCATGCTTTTGAAAAGCTACATTTTGTGTAAAAGTTCTACTACAAGCAGTAATAATACACTGGAAACGTTTCTCAAGCTGATGAAAGCTATGCATATGTAGATAATATAGTTGGTAACTTTTAATGACCGTACCACATAAATGACAGAAGTGGCCCACTTTACTGGGAAATCCTATTTCTGCTAATTCTTTATCATCTGGTATATCATCCAAAGAAATATCAAAATCACCTACATGCTTATACATCCTGCTAATGTTGGTTTCTTCTTTTTCAGATGAAATATTATTTGAAGGCAAATCTTCTCCATCAGTACTTTTAACATTAAACTCATCTAAGAATTCAAGTGCTTCCGAGATTTCAGATATACTAAGAGTATATAAATCTAAAGAGGTAAAATCCGTACTAGACTGCTGATCAGGGTTAATTCCATTACTTGAAGCCATAACTCTTTCATCTTTAGCTGTTTTTGTTGTATCTTGAGCAAAAATGCGTTGCACATTCATTTCAAATTCATCAGTTTTTGTTTTATCTTGAATAGCAATATGTTGCCTATTCATTTCTAAATGCTCAAAATTACTTATAGCAGATGAAGTATCATTTTGATTCAGTGATATTTCAAAACCATAATTTTGCTGAATTCTTTGAACAGCTTCATCAGTTTCTTCTTTATTTTCATTGTACGATAATATTCCTTAAAAAAAAAATTGATATGTTATCAAATATTTCACATTCCAATTACTAATTGCATACATAAATATAAATACATTTATTAAATTATTTATTATTAAATCTGCTAAAAGTTCTCAAACATAACACAAAAATATTTCTAAAAAAGTACGTTCTTTACCAAATAATTTACACTAATGTGTTTATTAATAGAAGAATACTGACAAAAATCACATAGAAACTATATACAAAATATATATATAAAATCAAATTTATGTGCTTTGCATAATGAACTTTTTACCAAATGTTTTTAAATTGCCATAAAAATTTGTTCTAAAAGATATTCCCAAATTCTTAGTATCAAAAGATAGTAAATCAAATTAATATTCATAATCTAAGAACAAACTGATATTTTTATTTGAATTTAAATCAAATCTATTTTGAAAACATGAATTAAAGTGTAAAATGACAAGAGAAACCAAAAATAAAAAGTATCCACATATTAAAAATGCCTTAAAATAAATAATAAGATAACATTGTTTTTAAAAAAGACAAAATTATAAGACACCAACCCTTACATGTGAGCTGCCAAAAATGATAAGCACATTTCACTAAACCAAAGCCAACTGGCATCACAAAAATTAAAGACTGTCAAGTAATGAAAAAAGTCATTTTCCAATAAATGTACCTGAATATTCATCTTTTGAATAATCTATAGTTTCTTTGGTTACCCAACGCATATGAACATGATGTTGGTGCTTTGTGCACATTCCAATACTTATGAACCTCATGCCACATAAAAAGCATGTATTTTGATCAACATTAGAGGGATCATAATTGTCTTGATAACTGACACCGGATGCAGCAACTGTGACAGTAGATCCAAGATGACCATTCTCTACCATATGTTTCTATAACAGGATAAAAAATAATGAGCATATTCATGTCTCTATATCAGCATACAAATTTCAGTACAGTCAAAAGTCGTTAATTCGGACACCCATAATCCGGACCTCAAAGCTAAAAACTTTCTGCGCATGCGCCGCGTTGGCACATGCGCACAGGCGTTTTACGCGTGCGCTGGAGACCTTGACTACTGCGCATATGCGTGTGCGCAAGTGCAGAATACGTTTTTGCCTGCGCGTTTAATGTATAACGGATGGTGTAAGCTAAAATTATCTAATTATCTATTTCAGTTAATGTTAATGATTGCGTTGTTCCTTATCTTCGAACTGGATCCCGCTTATTATTTTTTGCAGACTGTAAGAGCAATTTTATAAAAGTAAACTTGAACTTTCGATTATGTGAAATAGAATTTCCGATGCTGGAACTTCCAAAGGATCTACAAAACGAAAGTATGTTTTGATGTCCAACAAACAAAAAGTGGAATTGCTGCATAAAATGGATAAAGACATGAAGAATGAGACAGAGAGGTTAGTGAAAACGAAAAAATTTCGATTGACAAGTTAGTCGGTATTCTCGGCACAGCAATTAACGGGACTTGAACAGCGGAACTTTGTAACTGAACAAGAAATTATGTCTGTTTATAGAATTAAAGTGAAAGTATTATCACATAAAACGAAGCAACTTAAACAACTTACATTGAAAGAAATGTTTAATAAAGTAAACAAATAAATATTAAGGTTTTTTTTTTTTTTTGTAAATTTTGATACCCTTTAAATCATAATTGTTCTTTATTTCATAAATTACGGTTTCATATTTTTAATTTTAGAATTTCTGCATGCCATCTTACGAGATTTAAACTGATGATCTATAATCCGGAAAAATCGATAATCCGGAATCGCCGAAGTCCCGACGAGTCCGGATTAACGACTTTTGACTGTATTAGCATTTCATTAAAAATTGGTTTAAATATAAGAAACATTAGTTGAAGATATCAATGTAAACTTTCACAATATTTGCCAGACACATAAGAATATATATATAATATATATATATATATATATTTAACCTTCAACCAATTCAAAAGCTAGTCCTATACACAACAGTTATGATATGACATATTTTTCTTACACAATAAAAATTAAGAGAGATTCTAATAATGATATTAATGGCGGGTGCACAATTCACTTAAAAGTCTTTGCTAGCACCGTGCCCTATGGTAATTCTTACTGACTCTATGAGATAAAGCTACTTCATATCGGGTAAGTGAATTTAAATAAATTTTTTTTTATGTTTATAGAACAATGTCAATTAATATATTCAGTTCTTCTTGATGGCCCACACCCCCTAAAAAAAGAATTTGCAAGGCAATGGCACTATATCACCAGTGCATATGAGCAGCTGGCAAGCATGAATTTCCACATTCAAATTCAATGGCCATTTTTCTGACTAGTACACTTTTTTTTAAGTACTTTTCTTATTACATTAAGCATACACTTTTTATAACCGAATTTTAATGGGACTGTGGAGTTTGCTGGATGATGCAAAATAGAGGCTGCATTTCTTGAAAAATATGATTTTTGACAACAGTAGAGAATGCAAAAATGTGCATTCCATGAAGTTGTACTTTTAAAAGGATCAAAATTTTATGGATTAAAATTTGTGTTCAATGCCAAATTTGTGAAAAATTGTTCATGTTTTCTTAAGTGAAAACAGATCACTATGTGCACGGGATGAAAAACAACACGTGCTCTTATGATATAGCAGAAAAATACTGTTGCCAGTCTGTCTCAGGCATAGGAGAATGTTTAGAAGTGGGCATGAGTGTTAATTGTAAGTAATGCCGATAGCTATAAAAACTGCTTCTTTTTTATTTTTTAACCACTTGCACCAAAAAGACGTGCCACGCACATTGAGATGCTTTTGTCTCAAACCGTGCGCAAAAATGAAAATAACGTGGTGCACACATTGCCTAACAACGAGATTGTTTACTTCTCAAGTTACAGTTCTGGATTGCACTCGCCCACGCGGAGCGGCGTAAATGAGACACTTTACCGCTTGTTATATTGTAGCGCATGGGACCGCAACCGTGAAGTTTAGTCGTAGCGCAAGTCGTTAATTTCTGTTATACATCTTCTTAGTTTTATTATAGTATTTGCATCAAATATGCTGCAACAATTTAATAATTCATCAGATGATGTTTTTCTTGTGCATTCTTCTTTCTCTCATACAAATTTCAGATGTTACATTTTGAACACTTGAGTGTTGCTAGAGTAAATAAGCACAGTAAATTTCAAAAGAGTGATTACATTTATTCTATAATGTGCTCACACTGGTGTGCAAAAATTAAGGACGAAGTCGAAAAATTAGCATATCAGCTGAACGAAGAGGCAGAGTGCACAGAAAGACCAATCAGGAGATTAAGTAAGGTGATGTACAGTAGCACATGCGCAGATATGCAGGTAGATGTAATGGGGGAGTGTCTGAGTAGTATAAAGCATGTTGTCGGTGTAAGATCAGTATTTCTGGCAAAGAGATTGCACGCCGTATAGCAGTTAAAATCACACCGAGTTGCTGCCTCAGCGAGAAATGGAGAATAATCAATCTGTTAGATGCTTTTACCCGAGGTCGAATCATTGGGAAGTTGGAGGAAGGCCCCAGTCTGACAAGTGTGGCTGCAGAGTTCGAAATTGCTCACAGCATCGTTTCACGACTTTGGAGACAATTTCAAACTACAGAAACAGCTATCCGGGGGTTTAGTAATGGTCGTCCACGAGGAGCCACACCCGCAGATGACCGGTATATTGCCTTACAAACCAGAAGAAACCGGCGGCAGACAGCGGGAGAAATCACTAGACACACGACACAGGCGACTGGACGACCGATATCGCGTTTTACTGTGGCCAGAAGACTGCACGGTGGTGGTCTGTTTGCACGACGCCCTGTACAGTGTGTACCTCTAACACCTGCCCATCGGAGAAGGCGTTCTCTGTGGTGCCGGGAACACCGGAATTGGAGAGACAATGAATGGGGACGAGTACTCTTTACAGATGAGAGCAGATTCAGTCTGAGTAGCGATTCTCATTGCATACTCATCTGGAGAGAGCGGGGAAGCCGCAATCATCCCTCGAACATCACTGAAAGGGACAGGTATGGAGGTGGCGGTGTTCTCGTTTGGGGAGGCATCATGCTTGGTAGTCGTAGAGACCTTCACATCTTTGACGCGGGTTCAGTCAACGGGACTCGCTATTGTAACGAGATTCTTCTTCCATATGTGCGTCTTTTTAGAGGCGCTATGGGTCCGCAGTTCCTTTTCATGGACGACAATGCACTATGTCATCGCACAGTAGCTGCCGAACAGCTCTTAGAGAGTGAGGATATTGAACGTATGGATTGGCTGGCACGATCTCCGGATCTCAATCCCATCGAGCATGTATGGGATTTTCTAGGCAGACGCTTGGCAGCTCGTACCTTACCACCAGTAACGATTCCGGAGCTTTGATTGGCGCTGCAAGACGAATGGGCAGCAATGCCTCAACAACTCATTGACACCCTCATTCTCAGCATGGGCAGACGCTGTGAAACCTGCCTAGCAGTCAGGGGATATCATATCCCCTATTAAAGAACAGATGTTTCTTGCTGGACACCCATCACAGGGATGTCAAGCTACTTTTTCAATAAAGCTTCTTTTATCCCTCTGATTTCTCTTTTAGTAAGTGTTGCTTACATTACTCATGTCCTTACGTATTGGGGATCTTACGGTATTAAATGTGTTGATTTGGAAAGCTTTTGTACAAAGTTATATTGAAAAAACCGTCTCGTCCTTAATTTTTGCACACCAGTGTATGTGTTATATCTATCAATGGAGTCAATTCTGTTTCAAGAGGAAACAAAATTTATAGAAATGAGATGTGACACTGACATTTGATTTCCAGATTGAAAAAAAGAATTAGTTAAAATATTCCCAGATTAAAGTTCTACAGAAACAAAAAGGGTAAGGACCCTTTTTGAAGCTCTTAATTCAATGTTTAACAACTTGTTAATTAATAACATTAATGTTTAATGACTTACTAATAATTTAAAATGTCACTAAGAGAGATTTTGGTGAAGAAACGTACATTAAACACTTCACAAAATTCAGGCAAAAAATAGCAGATGAAAATGTCCAAAAAAGTTATTTAGAAATACTAAAAAATAAACTTTAAGTGCTTGAGACAGAGATAAATTTTAATTTTGATTCTTTGTTTGGGTTATGCACTGATGAAAGTATTATTTATGTAAAAAAGAAGAGATTGACAACGTTCTCTTAAACGTAGAAGGTGAATTAAATCATAAATTAGCCAAGTTTTGTTAGGAAAATAAATCGGAGCCATCTGGCTGCATGATGAATTCTGTTAAATTACCAAAAAAAAAGTACTTTGATAACATTTTTCAAGTAACTTACAAGAAAGGCTTTCATTTAAAGATAATTTAGCTAGTGTTGGTTCAAATCTTAATTTAACAGATGCAATAAAATTACAGTTCTTAAAATTTGCACTAAGAGGATATTCTTAACGTATTGTGCAGTCAGTATCAACAGTTGACTCTAATTATAAGTTAGCTTTATAATTAGAGTGAGAAGAACTTTTACTAGAAGAAAGGTTCTCTAATCTTGGGTTAATAACTCCATTCACTGTTAGATTAAAATTCTTACTACAAGAATTTTGGATTCGAAAATTGACATGGAATGATGAACTACCTCCAAATATCTTTCTAAAAGTGGGCAAAGTGGTGGTGTGAGTGTCCTCATCTAAGTAATACTTCAATTCCTAGATTTATGCTCATCTGAAATGATTTATGACTATGCATCCTATGCAAAATGAGTCTGCATCAGCAATATTAAACTTAATTAATATCACAAATGAAAGCCTGATATCATTAGAAGTATTAAAGCAAAGGGTTAAAGGATTTTCTTTCAATGTATTTGCCTATTTTTTAGGCAGAAATTATATACTTAACACCAAATTAT